TGGGATCTTTATTCTGTTCCTTTAATGTGTCTATTTCCTTGAATACCATACATCCTTCATTACTGTAGTTATCTATTGTCTCAAAATTGGTAGAGTGATTTCTCCCACTTTATCCTTATTTAAGAAAATGTTTCAGCTACTCCAGCTCCTTTGTTTTTCCAAATGAGTTTTACTATAATTTTGTCTATATCTTCAAACAGTCATGTGAGAATTTTGTCAGCAGCTGTGCTAAATCCATACAGAAAATTGGAGACTGGGCTTCTTTCGTACACTGAGTTCCAATTTATGAACACCACATCTCTCCATGGAGCTAGAGTCATTGATTCTTGTAAATCACCCCGGTTGGGCTTTCAGCAGACAAATCTAGTACCTGTTCGCTGAGGGTCATGCCTACTGCTAACAGATCCAGTAGCACAGGGCTGCAATCCCAGCACTGAGGAGGAGGCAGGAGAATTGGGAGTTCATGACCAGCTTGGGGCTATATAGTGAGTTCTAAGCCAGTGTGGCCCACCTTGTGATACCCTGTCTCAAAACAAATAAACATAGAACCCTAAATACAAAATAAAAAAAAAAAACTCCCCAAACTGACTGTAAAATGAAAACTCTTTAAAATTTTGGATAGGACATAAAACCATCTTCACACGTTGAGCTACTAAGAGCTTTTCTCGAGACAGGCCTACTGCGTTACCCACACTGCCTATAAACTCGGTGGGCTCAAGCAATTCTCTTGTTCCCGTTTCACAGGTGCTGGGTCTACAGGCGAGCGCTATCGTGCAGAGTCAGAATTGATTTTTGTATACTGAAGTAAGCCGCAACGTTGATGAACTCATTTATTAGTTCCAGGAGGTTTTCGTAGATTACTTGAAATGTTCTATGTACACAATCCTGTCGGTTACAAGCAGAGAGTTATTTTCCTTTCTGTTTGGTGTGCTCCTGAGATGCAGCCTGCTGTGTCTTTCAGATCTGCAGGGCTGAGAGCAGGGATGGGGTCTCTTTTCCTTTCTCTCTTCTATCTTTGTCTGGTCTAGGTGTCAGGATAATAGCGTCTTAATAAAGTTGGAAGGTGTTTCCTCTATTTCCTGGAAGACTGGGTAGAATTGGTGTGAGTTCTTCTTTAAATGTTTGGTAGCATTCTCCAGTGAGAGCATCTAGGCTTGAAGGCTTGCTTCCTTGGGGGATGAGAAAGTTATAAGTTCTGTCTTTAAGCAACAGAGATGTTGAAATTGTTTCCGATTCGGTGAATTATGGTAGTTTATGTTTTGTGAAGATGTAGTCCATTTCATCTAAGTTGCCAGGTGTGTGCATGCAGAGTAGCTGGCCATGTTGACAGTGTTGTGGTGTCTGCAGGGTGGTAACCTTTTTCATTCCTGATGTGACTGATTTGTGTCTTCTGCTTTTTCTTCATCAGCCTCACTCCAGATTTATCAATTTAATGGATTTTTTCCAGGGAAGCATTTTGATTTCACCAAGTTTATTCTCATTATTATTTTGTTGTTTTCAGTTTCATTTATTTCTTCTCCATATGACTGAATCCCTCCTATTTGGGTCAGGTTTATTTGATCTTCTTTTCCAGTTTGTTAAGGACGCTGCTTAAAATTATTGACCAGACTATCCTCTTTTCAATAAAAGATCTAATTTTATAAATTGCTCAGCATCGCTTCAGCTGTATTTTACGAATTTTGACATAGGGTATTTTTATTTTAATTCAGTTTAATCTACTTCAAAAATCTCTTCGCCCCACGGACTATTTAGCAGTATATTCTTTGGTTTGTTAGTATTTAAAGACCATTCCTTTTCCTCATTGATTTTCTGATTGATTTCATTTTGCCTAGAGAATACACCCTATTTGATTTTGTTCTTTATAATTGGCGGGTTTTGTTTGATGAATCATGATATACTTCATTTGAAAAGATTTGGTCATTTTTCTATTATTTTGCTAAGATACATAAAGCATAAAGTATGTCACTGTAACCATCTGAAGTGTATGTTTCACATTTCTAATGCTGTGCAAACATCATCACTATTTATTTATTGGATTCGCCCACCACTTCCCAAAGAAGTGTTGTATCCATTAAGAACTACCCTCTATAATGCAGCCGTTCCCTGGCTGCTGGCAATTTCTAATCTCCATTTGATTTTCATGCATTTGTCTGCTGCAGATAAGACATACCGGTGGAGCTATACATTATTTGGAGTTTTGTGCTTGCTGCTTTGCCTTATTTAATGTAATGTATTTAAGGTTTATCTGTGTTATAGTACATCAAACTGTATTTCCTTTTAGTGTTGAGATAATATTTAATTCCATGCTACTATCACATTTCCTTTATCTGCTCATCTCTTGATAGTAGTTTCTAGGTTGTGACGATTGTGAATAATGAGCTATAAAATTGGTGTTTAAGTATTTGTGTTATTACTTATTCCAGATATGGTCTCACTATGTAGCCCTGGTTTCCTGAAAATCACTATTTAATCAGGCTGGCCTTGAACTCATAGAGATCCACCTGCCTGGAACATTTAGGAGGTACTCTCTAGTTAGAAAAAAAAATGGGTCACCAGAGGGTGTGTGTTATGGCTTGGTGCCTGTCAGAGCACTGTTTCCTGACTGCTACATTTAAACAGTCACCCCACCCTCTTGTTGCCAGTCATGATCTGCTCCAACCTGGCGCAACTTCCCCGTTACAGACTGTGAACCACAATAAATCCTCCCTTCTGTAAACTGGTCTCTGTCAGATTTTCGCTCACAGTTATGAGAAAGGTAATAAACATACACTTTAGGAGTGCATTTTATTTTTGTGTAAAATAAAATTTATATATCTCATGAGGTAATTTGTTTGTCTAGATATTTGTCAATTTCATTCGAGGTATCCAATTTGTTAGCTTACAACTGTAAACAGTATTTTATCTTAATACTGTCCATTTGGGTGAGATCAATAACTATCAAAAAGATAGCTTTAGTTATTTATTTGTTTGGATGTATCTGTGTGTCTGAATATGGGTATGTACACATGAATGGAGGCTGAAGGAGGACACCATATCCCCTGAAACTGCATTTCCAGGTGGCTGTGGGTCTCCTGATGTGGGTGCTAAGACCTGAACTCCGGTCCCCTAAGAGCTGCAAAGGTTCTTTACCAATGAGTCAGCTCTTCCACCCCAGAGTAACAGCTTCTGATTATAGCTATTTGCATATTTATTATGTCATACTAGCCAGAAGATCTTTTTTTCAAAGACATAAATTTTTGTTTTACTATTTTTTTCTTTAGTCTCTGTTGCATTTACCTCCATTCTAATCTTTTTCCCTTTGGTTAACTTTGGATTTAGTTTTCCTTTTCTAGTTTTTCTAGTGCAAAATCAGGCAGATTATTGATTTGGACATTGTTCTTGCAGAATTTCAAAACTGCTGGTACATTCCTATTTGGAATTGGAAAATATCCTGGGACAAATAAAAACACAAGCATAATGTACCATCAGTTTTGAAATTCTGCGAGAACAATGCTCAAATCAATAAGATGCACCCATTGGTTGTTTAAAAACTGTAGTGTGTAATTTAAAGAAATTTGTAAGATTTTTCTCTTTTCCTTCTGTTGTTGATTTTAAAAGGCCTTTAACAGCTTAATTCCATGGTATTCTGTACATGGTGGCAACTCCTGATCCTTCCTTCCCACAGCCAGGGCTTCATACATGCTTGACAGGCACTCTGTCACTAAGCCACACCCTCTGTTCCCGAGCTGAAATCTTTTAAAATGGATTAGTACTTGGTTTGACCTAACACATGGTCTATTGTGGAGAATGTTACAGTTCTCTGCTATCTTTATCATTTCTCCATTATTGAACTCATGGATTGAAGTTTTCAAGCATTGTAGAACTACCTCTCTCCAATTGTACCACCGTTTACTTTATATATATGTTAGGGCACTCTTGTTTGGTATATATAACTGTTACATCTTCTCAATGAATTGGCCTCTTTATTAGTATGTAATGTCTTTTTCCTAACAATTTTTTATGTAGAAGTCTATTTGTCTGACATTAGCTCTTCTAGGTTACCATTTGTATGAAATACCTTTCTCTTCTTTGTCACTTTAAACTAAATTCATCATTGAATCTAGAAGTGGTTGTTTCATAAGCAACATATATTTAGACTTCTTTTTTCTTTTCGAGAGTGGGTCTCACTATAAATGCCTGGCTGGCCTTGAAGTTGCTATAAGGTCAGGCTGGCCTTGAACTCACAGAGCTCCAACTGCCTGTGCCTCCTGTCTGCTGGGATTAAATGTGTATACCATCACATTATTATTTAACTTTTAAACAAAAATTTATTCTTCAAATTTCTGTCTTTTGATTGGAGACTTTATTCTACTTATATTAATTTTGTTTGCTGATTGGGAAGGACTTGTTTTTTCGGTATCTTCTACCTAGTTTTAGCTCTCATCTTTTCCATTACAGTTTTAATAGTTGATTATTCACAGAAATAATTTTGGTAAATTTTGTACATTTTAGTATGTACCATGAGTATTACACTTAATATCCCCAATGTGTTATAATCTAGCTTTGAGACCAACTTTGTTCTTGCTTACTTCCATCCACTTCTGCAAGATAATGCTGTTCAGTCTATACACTGTATGCACAATAACAGATTTTTAATTGTTTTGTCTTTGTTAGATATAGAATTATAATTATTCTTTAGCTCTCTAATTGAACCCTTTAAAATGATGAGCCAAATGTATCTTTCCCCCTTGAAGTTGCTTACCCCACCCAGGTGTTTTGTCAAAACAATACAAAACTGACTAGCACACACATGGTGGGGAGTTGCTATGGTTTAAATATCCTGTACTTAATTTTAACAGTATTGAGAGGGGGTTCATTGTTAAAGGATTGTAACATTACTGTGTCAGTGTGCTAGTTAGAATTGGAGTGGGTTCATGATAAAAAAAAAGGATGAATTTAGCCTAACTTTCGTCTTTCTTATGTCCACTTGTCCTTCTGCCACGTTATCATGAATCACAAAGCAAAGAGTCTTGCCAGATGATGGGATCATGGTGCTGGACTCTTCGGCCTTCAAACTGTAAGCCAAATTATATTATTTATAAGTGACCTCATTTATGATATTCTGTTATGGCAGCAGAAAAGCCATCTGATGTAGGGCTCCATTCAATTAGCCATTCATGATTTGTTTTGTGATCAGTCCCATGTGGTCCAGGCTGCTCTCAAACTCACTAGTAGCCAAGGCTAGCCTTGAACTCCTAATCCCCCTGCCCCACCTCCCAAGTGCTGGGAGGCTATTCTTTATATATACAAGATCACAAAATTATTGTCAGTTGTAGAGGTGATTAGAGCATATACAGACAAAACAGGAGGAAAAAGTAGCATAGATGAACCATACATGTCGTTAATAAAATGTTAGAATTGTTTTGGATTTTGTGGTATTTATAGTAACTTTCAGCTTTTTAAGAGCTTTTTTTAGAGCTTTCATATTATCCTAAATACCCACTTGTACCTAATTTTATGTTCACATTTAAATTTTTTTTTAATATATTCCCCTGTCTCTGGCTGTACAACTTCATAAATTCAGGCTGCCAAAACTCAGGTCTGTCACTGCCTCTATGTTAAGATTGAAACTATAGTTCTATGTCTCCCTTCCCCCATTCTGAATATTCCTGGTGTTTTATAGTGCCTGGAAGAAACCTGACACATTGCAATCATTTAATGAATAATTGTTGGTTGAACTAATGAACCAGCAAATGAGGAGAAAAAAACTATCAGGTTGGTGCCCAGGAACTGAGGAAGTGGGTGCTCTGGGAGAGTGCCTCTCAGGAGTTGAGTGACTGAGGGGGGAAGCCAAAGCAAGAGGGAAACGTGGGTTCTGCAGTCACTGGTAGCATAAAAAAAAGGGCTGCCCACGGATACAATGAGCCGCAAGTGCAGTCAACATGCTAGTTGCAAAATGAGTGCAGCAGAAGCCTTCTGTTCTTTTCACATAGCTTTGCTGAGTTTCTCTCATCCCCATCTAGCACTTGCTCAGTAGCTGCTGGACCACGAGGGAACTAGGGATTCTTTCTTTTACTCAGGTTGTTATAAGGAGGGTTAAATGAATGAAGGCATCTGGCAAAGTAACATATACACAGTAGGTGCTCAATAAATGCTATTTCTCCTTTCTCCAGTGAGGTCTGCTAATTCCCTTTAAAGAGACAGGGTTTCCTCATTTTCGCATGTCCTTATTCTGCTGGACTTCTCTAAGGAGACATACTTTTTTCACCTTAGAAGAATCCCATCTTCTTAAAGGGATATTCTTCCTCTCTGGGAATCTCTTTCCTGGAGATGCAAAATTTACAGGACTGACGTTTGATTTAGGGTCTCATGACACAGTCACAGATGGCTTCAAACTCACAATCCTGCCTCAGTTTCCCCAGTGCTTGCTGGGATATAGGCATGCGATACCATGCCTACCTGGCTATTTTTTAATTAATAGTTATATGGAGGAGTCTGGTTTCAATTGGTATTGAAATTTTGTTCCCTGGCATCTACTTAGAGCAGAAGAAGTTAACTGGCAGACAAGAGATTCTCTAATATGTTTTTCAACCAATTCTTGGGATTTTATTAAATGGTGTAATGTGAAGAAGCGAGCCTCTGGTAAGCTTCCAGGGTTTGAATCTGTCCCCTGCTATGGTACTAATTGCGAGGAAGCTGGTTCTCTAGACCAAGGCAGGAAGCTTCATTTTAGAAGTTGTCTTTCATGGAAGTGCATACTCCTGAGAATTAACCGCGGGATATTGTCCCAAAAAGGGGGGATGCTTGCTGGCCCTAAAGGTCAGAATAGAGCATGATACTGGGTCTTTTGACGTCTTTTGGGTCTTTTGAAGTATGGACTGCCAATTCTCCTATTCTGCGTGGGTAAAATTTGGGTTGGAAAATCACTTTCTGGGGGCATGAATGGGAAGACTGGAATGGGAAAGGAACGAGGTTAGCTCTGACTATGAAAGCAAGCGCAGGGCAGTTGCTCCTCCATCAGTCACCGGCTGCAGCAGTTAGTCCCTCCTTTGTCCAGGTACCCAGCTGTGGGCTTGGAGGTTGTTATCACTGCTGCTTCCATCTTGCTGAGTTGTCAGCATCATCAACTGGAGGAATCAGCTCTCCAGACTGCACTCATTTTCTTATTGCTGATTTTTTTCAAAACAGGACTTTTCCGTCTAACAGTTCTGGCTGTCCTGGAACTAGCTCTGTAGACTAGGCTGACCTTGAACACAAAAGAGAATCACCTGTCTCTGCCTTCCAAGTGCTGAAAATAATGGTGTGTACCACCACCGCCCGGACAGATGACACTCATTTCTGGGAAACACTAAGGAAACATTCTATAAAAGCCAAGAAAATGCATACAGATTACAATTTGAGAAGTCGATTACTTTCCCTCCTGATAGAAATAATCCATTTTGGCTTGCTATCCTTCCTTTCTCCTGACTTTAGAGAAAAGGTTATTGGAGACAATTAACCTGGGCTCTGGATCTCACCTCCCTCTCTGACCTTGAACTCTTGACTCTTTCCATTACTCTCACCCACCTAAAATACCTCTTACTTCATTCAGTTAACAAACGTGTAGAAGTCATTTTCCCTACGACAAACACCTTCTCTTGAACATCACACCCCTGGGATACTGACTAGGAAAAATAAAAGCTGGAGTGTCTGCCGTTTTCCCTTAAAATGGCATCTCCCTATTTCCTGCTACTTTCTCGCAACACTAGAAACTAAGAACTGGGGTGTGAACAGCATACCGGCGAAGCCTTCCCTCACTCCTCTCAGCCATCACCGCCAGGCTCTCGCAGCACCGCTAGTATTGTACTTGGCACTGTGAAGGGAGCTCATCTATTGACTTTACAGCGGAACTTAGATTTCTGTGTTCTTTTGTTTCATGAGGTCATGAAAAGAGGTCAAATGGCCTTGATTTCAGTGTTCCTAGAAGAGAAATTTTCATATTGGGTGTTCAGTAAGTGCTGAGTGGGAGAGAAGGGGACGATGGCTCTTGAAGCATGATCATGTAGCAGTAGCTGGTAGTCATATTTCTTTTTTTTTTTTCCATCCAGTACTATTGGCATTTCTGGTGGTGAGGATGCTGAACATCTACACACTAAAGACCAGTAGCACATTCTCTTCATTTTCCTTTCTGATTTGACAACTGAGAATATGTCCAGACATTGCCAGTTGTTGAGGAACAGAGCAGTTGCCCTCTGTTGACCATTCAGAAACCTAAATACCAGACTTTCTTAAACTGTCTTTTTCTTGACTAAAATCTCCCATAACGTTTAGCTACACTGAGCGTGGTAGGAAAAAAATCTCAATTAAATTGCTAGATAAATATGTAAAGTTTTATTACCTAAACCAACAAAGGAAATTGGATGTAGATTGCCCTACTCAACTGACTTCAAAATCCATTTAGTCACTCAATGACTCTAGAATGCTGAACACTGTGACAGGTCCCAGGGCTATACTGATAGACTTGTAGATGTGGTACCCACATTGAGGAAGTTGAAATGCAGCAAGAGAAGCATACTAAATAACAAGGGGAAAAGAATCTGAAGAAATTTTGGGTGCCTACGCAGGTAAAAGTGCTTGCTGTCATGCCTGACTATCTAATTCAATCCCAGAGACATCCACGGTAGAAGAGCAGGTCCAGTCCACATCTGAAACCGCCCCTTCAACACACGCGCGCATGCACATTCGTGCGCACACCCACCCACACGTAAATAAGATAAAATTAATAAAAACGTGTAATTTAAAAAAAATTCTGGACTGCAGTAAATGTCATGAAGACATAATGAGTACACACTAACAGAGATTTCGATTGGGAGACTAGGGTAGGACTCTGAAAATGTGACATTTAAGGATAGAACTTAAAGGCTGAGAACAAGTTAACTGGGTTTAAACATGCACACACACACACAACAACAACAAACAACAACAAAACTGCCACCACCACCACCACCAAAAAACCTATAAGGCACATAATTTAAGTAGATTAGCCAATTGTGGTGGGTTATCTTAATTGTCAAATTGACCAGATTTAGAATCACCATGGACATGCCTCTAGGACATAAACCTAAAAAGATTCAATTGACAGTAAAGATCCATTCTGAATGTGGCAGCGCCATCTCAAGTGCTGGAGTCTCAGACGGAGTGCAAGGAAAAGAGTTCAGCACCAGCATTCATCTCTCTGCTGCCTGACTGTGGAGGCAGTATGAGCATCTACCTCACGCTTCTGCTGCCATGCCTTCACCAAGATGGGCTGTATCCCTTCTTAAACATATATGCCCTTCCTTCCTTCCTTCCTTCCTTCCTTCCTTCCTTCCTTCCTTCCTTCCTTCCTTCCTTCCTTCCTTCCTTCCTTCCTTCCCTTGGCTTTTGTCAGGCATTTCATCACAGGAATGAGATATTTAGGAGCTAGTACCGCAGTCATGGCCACAGAATCTGATGCTGAAAAGAGTTTGGTTATTCTGGATATACAAGAAAGACCATAGTGGCTGGGGCAGGCAGCTGAGGGACTAGAGATATGAGGTGGGATAGACAACAAACCAGATGCTGGGGGACTGTGGCCATGGCAAAGAGTTGAATCTCATTCGTAATAGACTGGGAAGCCACTGAAGGCTTTTAACAGGATTCATAGTTGACCTTTTTGAGGTTATAATTATGTCATTTCTTCCTTCCCTTTCCTCCCTCCAAACTCTCCCATGCTCTCTTTCCAATTCTCCTTGATTTAATCTACATATTAAAACTGCTTGTTGTATGGAGTTGGATGGGGCTACCAAGGCAAACGAATAGAAGTGTGGGGACCAGGTGGGAGGGTGGTGCCAATTGACAAATAATGTTGATGGCAGTGAGGCTGGGAAAATGGTATAATTTAGTTCCAGAATTGACATATGTGTTGATGACTTTTGCAGATGTTGACGGAAGAGTTTAACTTAAGCAGTTCAAAGGACAGTGGAGTGATGTGTTGAAGTGGGCAAGAAGGATTGGGCTACTAAACAGGAGAGAGGTATTCCTTCCTTGGTCCAGTGAACCTCAATTATGACTGCATAA